GAACGATAATTAGGAAGCATTAAAGGACTTAGATTTATACATATACGATAAGCAGCAAGAGAGTAACCTTGAGTTAGGTAGCAGACCTTGGTAACAATAAATCGAAGTAAGAGTTATGGTATAGTATGGAGGAAAAATGAGATAAAAGTCGCATAGTAACTTACAAGTTCAGTGTCGTACATGCTACATGATAGAAGGTAACAACAGTTACGAGATTGAAAAGATTCCAACCACAAGTCGTGGTGTGAGAAAGAGGCCTAAAGGGGGGAATGCCCTGACCTTTGAATTTATTCACAAGATAGTTGCCTAGATGGCAAGGATAGGTTATGATACTGATAGGCAAATCAGTAAACATTCGAGGACGAATGTTCCAAAGGGGGGAATGATATTACACACCATATTTTCGCACGTGAGAGTACATCATAAGTCAATTGATGTAAGCTCAGAAATGAGATCGTCTTTGAAAGTACATAAAGTAAGCTAATCATGTTACCTTGTAGTTTACAAATCTTTAAGATCATAGATAACAACTACCAAGAGGGTTGATATGCTTAAGAGCTAAGCAAATAGAAGAAAATAAGTTTCGTCGAATGTCGACAAGTTGGAAATATTATAACATGTACTTTTGGGGTCATACTAGGGTTCTTAACATGATAAGGAGTTCATGTTATGAGTTATTTTAGTTGTATAATAGTCGTGTGTTACATTTTGAAGTCAAGCGAGTTTTGGAACAAAAGTTGGCAAAAGTCATCACAAGTTACATTCATAATGTGCTGAATATTAGGTCAAATGTAGCAGAGCTTTTCTCCTAATATACTTGGAATTACAGGATGATCCACATATAAAATTGAATATCTACAAGTCTAGTTTCTAACTCATTAAACCGTTCGTCAATACGACATCGGAGTAGAAAGATATTTGCAGTTTTGCGATACTACGCAGACTATATAAGTGACAAGTAGGTGGGTCACTAAAGCTTTTTGAGTAATACATTTAATGTGTTATATGAGGTCTTTTTGGGACATATTATATACCCAATTGAAGTTCTTGGAAGTTAGTTTTTAACGCTTTTAACCGTTCATTCATACGACATATGTACAAAAAAGATATAAGCGTTGGAAAAAGAGTCAATGCTAGGGTGCCAAGTAGCACCTTTTTGACTTTTCAACAAAATGGATATTTATATCCCTTATGTCATCTCTTTCTTCATTTTTCCATAAACCACGACCAAATAAGACCCATAAACTTACCCTTAAGCTATCTACAAGGGTTTCAAAGAATATTAACATCTCGAGTAAGAAATCAAGAAGTGATAACATTAGAACGATCCCTACGACATAAGTATCGCTATATCGCCTCTCGTTTTCTTTGTAGTTTGAGTTTTGGAAGGTATTTAATAGTTAAGAAAATACCTACTTTCTGTATTTAAGATTTTAAATTTCAAGGAAGGTTGATAAATTTATTTTCTAATAGTTAGAACTCAGGGGACGGTAATCAAAAACCGTGAGTTCGAGTTATTCGACTTGTAGTGGATTATTTTGTGGGTTGTTTCGTGTTATTTTTGGGCTGTCTATTTTGCTACTGTTTAATGGAGTTTTGGAGGAGAAATGGTGTGGATAAATATCATATACTGGCGAAATGGTAGATTAGTCATTTTTTGTAATATTTTCGGGGTGTTTGACACTACTATAGTTGTCGTTTTGGGTATGAAGTGATTGGGGTGTGTTGGGCTATTGTAACCTAAATATAACATGGATTTCGACTTGAATCCACTATAGGAGGTAATTATATTGTGTTCTTGCATATGATTAAGGTTATATTGATATTGATTAAGTTAAATAGATGGGCTAGACATGAACTAGTGAATAAAGTTGCTAATTGAGGATAATTAGAGTTATGAATTATTTTCTTTGTTATAAATATATGGTATAAGGCTGGAATCATTGATGAATAACTTCATTATCATGTTAATGATATGGTTAAGTTAAATTAAGAAGTGTGGGGTATACAGGTTTCAATCGGAGCTTGCCGCTCGTCGTGAAGTAGTTGTGACTTGTTGTTGTTATATGGTGTCTTGTTATTGATAACTATGTATTGATGGATTGCTCTAGTCATTGTTGTTGGTATATGGTATTGGAGGAGGCTCTTGTTACATCGGAGATGCTGCCCAAATTTATATAAGCGAGCTACTAGTTTAAGTTGCGGAGTTAGCCTTTACTTAACACTGATTTTGAATCTCTTTATGCTATGGTAGATTGAGTTGAGTTGTTTGAAGCATTGCTTGGAAGGTATTAAGGACTCAATGCAGTTAAGGTATGTTAGGGCTATCCCTTATTTCTTTTTGGCATGATCCATATGATGCAACGAAACGAGCAAGCACACAACTTTCACAAATGATTCTATTCTTAGAAGTACTAGGGGTGCCTATGTTCTTGATTTCCCATGTGTCCTATTATTCTATCGTCTGTTCATTGGTCTAAGAAAATACGTAAGTTAATAAATTTTATTTCATGATATTAACCGAAGGCATATTGATCTCATGACATTCCGAGAGATCTTATTGACTTATTTCATTATGCATTGCATTCATTTATACATGTATATTGACCCACCATATGGCATTATATACGCGTATAGTATATGTATATGGGGTATGAGAAAAGATTATGGCGTTATATTCGTACCACCACCTGATCTGCTGGTCTACCTTGATGATTTCGCCCATAGAGGCCGAGGTGATATGATGGGATGCCCTCAGAGGCTTAATAATATTATGTACGCACATTTCTATGCATGATGTGACATTTATACGCATATGCATAACATTATAAATGTTTCATGATTCACAGAGCTATTCAGACTTACATGTTGAGTTCTTTACTCCATGTTTCTTTCATGTCTTTTATATACTGCTTTCATGCCTTACATTATCAGTACTTTATTTGTACTGACGTCCCTTTTGCTTGGGGACGCTGCATTTTATACCCGCAGGTTCCGATAGACAGGTTGAGAGTCCTCCTAGTAGGCTATCAGCTCAGCGGAAGGTGTTGGTATACTCCACTTGCTTCAAAGTTGCCTATTTGGTCAGTATGATTTGGACATGTATTAATTGGTATTGCGGGACCTTGTCCTGACCTTTATGATGTTTATGTACTCTTAGAGACTTGTAGACAGATGTCATATTTATGGATAATTGTATGGCCTTGTCGGCCTATGTTTTGAGTGTACAAATGATCATGTCGGCCTTACAGGCCCGTATGTCACATGTATAAGTTTCTCTATCATGTTGCGTCGTTCTATGTCTAGTATTCCCTTATGTTTTATTCTGGTTATGTCATAACGTCACTTCTGACCTATTTACCCATGATGGTATGATAATAAAGATACGTTACATTGGTGCTCGGTTAGGTAAGGCACTGAGTGCCCGTCGCGGCCCATCGGTTTGGGTCGTGACACATATGCCTCCTTATAAATTTACATCTTGAATCTACATAGACTTTTGCTATAAAGAAAAATCAAATGCAAAGCTGTGAAGCTTTCTTTTATTTTTCTTTCTTATCAAATTAATCTCATAAATAATCAGTTTTTATATCTTTTAAAGATTTGAAGGATTAGTCAAATAATACAATATAGTATCCTTTTCTGTTTTATAAATGAGTGATTTATGTAACAAAACTTTAAAACTAATAAGTAAGGTTGAGGAAGGTAATTACGAAATATTATAGCAAATATATCACTTGAAACCAGTTTCTTAACAAGAAAATAGAAACAAAATTGGTAATTATAGTATTTAAACCATATGAGAGGTAATTAGTATTACCAAAGCAAACCAAGAGAAATGTTTTTGAAAATATGTCTATAAATAATTAAAAGAATTAACTCAAATAGCCGTTAACCCAATCGCTTAAACTAAAATAACTGGCGAATGTATAATATATACTTTATATGTTTAGAGTCGTATATAATTTGTGTATAATCTATTTATACCGACTAGAACTATAAATAGTAAATCTGATAATTATCCATTTAATATTTAGTATTAGGCTTGGGCCCGAGCTCAGCATGGACTTAACAATACTAGTAACATTTATATATGAAAAGGTCCCTAAAATCTTCAAAAGGAGCATATTTATTTGTTTATTCTAAAATAAATATTTATTTTATTTGTGCTAAAATACTAGTAACATATTTATTTATGCTATCATTTTTTTAAAATAGGGGTATTTTTGTCATAAAGTTGTAAAAGAGTTTCTTAATGTCTTTCTTCTAATTATAATGCCAAATAGTATGTTATTTTTTTGGTTTCTCATCCGGTGTCCGATATCGTAATGGGACCCGGCTAAATTCGGATTTATCCGAATAGTTCCATATTGGGGGTAAAGGCTACCTAATAAAGACAACGTCATATCTAAAGCTCGAACCCAAAATTTTTTATTAGTAGTACAACTCCGCCACAATCCTTATTGGTAAATAGTAAATACGACTAGGAGTAGTATGTAATTAACTTAATATATGTACTTGAAAGTATATAGGTTAAGTAAGCGTTAATTATAATTTTTGAAAAAAAGTAGTATTTGGAGTTAGGTTGAAAAATAATATTTGAAATTTTAAATTATGTTTGGATATGTATTTCACTTGAAAAAATGTTGCAATTTTATGAGCGGGAAAACAAAAATTTCTTTGTTTTTGAAAAACTCTTTTATCGAAAAATTTCTAAAAACTTGCAAAATTTCATGGACAAATACGTTTTTGAAAAAAAAATCGAAAAAAAGAAAAGAAAAAATATATGGACAAACATGTCGTTAGTGTAAATAAAAGTGTATTATCACTTTTAGCCCGTGCTAGAAACTATTTACATCTGNATATATATATATATATAAAATATATAAATATTATATATTTTTTCGATTATTATTTTATAGCGGCTATAAAGTATCATTTTTACTAAATAAAAAATCAATCGAACTGCCACCGTTAAGTCCCTCTCATTCGTCCTAAAGTACAGTGATCATTTCAATTGGTAACACTTTCCCTCCAAGGTTCACCACTTCACACCCTCCATATCGTCGATCGTCTGCAGTGAATTGATCTGTTCTCATCCTCTATATCGTCTGCAGGTGAATAGAATTATTGAATTCTCATCATCCATATCGTTTACATTTCTCTATGTTTTGTTTCACCTTTCTAAATTTTTCAAGATTATCTGTTTTAGGGTTTAGGGCTTTTGTAATTCCAAGAACGGGGTTTCTTCTTACACTCATGTACGAGATATAGGATCGTAATGAACACAACACATACTACAAGGTATCGTTGAAAAATATATATGAAGAAATGCAGATAATACGAGAACCCCGGGGAAGTGCTACAATGTGGTACTAGTAAGTAGTAAAATATTCTAGTTGTTGAGACTTTATAAACGTGTAGTTTCTTCTCTGTTCAGACGTCCGTAGAGGAATTGTTGTTTCAAATAATACTCTAATCTTGGGTTATATTACTGTTTGGATTAAAAGTTTAAAACAATGATATCAATTTATTGTACTCCTAATGTTTTACACTAATAGTGGTAATTGCTGTTTCAAATAAATGGATTGTTGGAGTCTCTGTTTTCAACCTTCTTTACTAGTGGTAATCTTTCATTACCAATCAAAAAGGGACCTAAAACATGAGCTTTTATAGACGGTGGTAGTGTCAATGTCTTGTTGTTAAAGTTTAAGATCTGAGGCCGCCTATGGTTTTGGGGGGTCGAGACCAAGAAAACCAGAAAAAGTCCTAAACGAGGTACTTAGACCCTTGAGTGCTCTCGTATGAGATGAGTTAAGATAACTGTTTACAAGTTGAATAAAGTGACATAGATAGGGTATAACTCTCTGATGCAAGTGAGACTAATTTTACCTCTACGTATCTAAGAGGAGGTTATTGGAGCTCTTATGGAGCGGAACCTCCTTGACAACAAGCAGGAATTAAGTTTGAAGGACTAGGGAAGACATCAATCATGATGGTTTGAGTAGAATGTTTGGTCTACCTCAATTACAGTAGCAAGGCTATGACCCTCGTTGGGCTAAGGCGATGGTAAGGGATATCCTGAGTGCCTCAATTCATTAGTTGACTTATAGTCACCTGATGTTACCATGATTGTAGAAGGGAGCGAGAGAGATAGTAAAGCAAACCTCCAAAGAGTAAGGTAAGGCAATATAATGCAGGTAGTGGAATTCTATAATGGAGTTACTTTTCGAGGCCTAAGGCATTGCTCAAGCCGGCAGAGGTCCTATAGGCAAGTACGTTACTTGTTAGACATAGATGATCTTGATGTGTCCTGACTCCTGAGTGAGGTCAGATAGTCTCTGGCCATTTTGCCTTGATTGTCGTTCAAAGGAAATGAGTGTCGAATACATGATGAGCCTAGCGTACCCTTGGGTTGGCTAACTCAAATCATTCTTTCTTGCTTTTTGTAAGCATTTATGCTCTATACTTGAGACACCAGTTCCTTCTTTATGCTTATGGAATATTTGTTTCTGTTATAAGGTCAAGATCCTAGGTAGAGGTGCTCAAGTGAAACTGGGAAACCACACCTAACCGACAAACCGAAATAAAAAATCAACTAGTTGTTTGGTTTTGTTTGTGTTGGCGTTGAAATAAAAAAAAACCAATAATATTAGGTTTGGTTATTAACCAAAAAAGGTCAAACCAACACCAAACCAATCGACATACTTTTTTAAATAATTTCTCTTATACATAAAAATATTCATTATAATCTTATTTTGTAGATATTTTTTAAACTATTTCAGTTTGGTATTATATTTTGTAATAGTTGTTGACTTTTGATTATTATTAGTGCAAGTTGTTGCGATTTACATAATGTTTTGTGGGGTAATAGGGAAAGGGGATGATAATTTGAATACCATAGCTGCTTTTGCTATGTTGTTTGAAATGTAATTCCTCTTTTGTTGTTTTACTTTTATCGGGACTACTGTTTATTAATCTTGTTTTGCACTTACTTAAGGCCGGTTGTATCTTCCATGGGTGCAACTTTTCGGCATTGCTTGTTTCTATTACCGAGCAAATATTCAGTAGCTTGATAGGGATAATTTTTCATGTTATAGGTTCTTATAATTGAAGTATGGATATTACACTATTTTGGTAGTTATTTGTTTGTAACATGTAAGAAGACTTGTGAAAATGCATAGAACACTACTGTTGAGATCTTTTTTTGGCTTTGCATCTAGATAGTGAAAATGCATAGCTCAATTTTGGGACTCGCTTGGGGCTCGTCCCTGAGTGGGGCACTTGCAAACGCCCTGAGGCACACGTGTATGGTTTTGTTCTATGAGGCTTATGCTCCAAGCATCTGACTGTGGGCCCTAAGCATGTCTAGCGCTCAACAATCACGGCTCGCCCAATAGTTTCTATACAAATCATATGTCAAATTCCGTAGTAAGAACCATTGACCCTCATTAGTGTTATAGAGGTAAAATATAACATAAAAAATCGGTTCCAAAGAAAACTTGGTTGTTATAGTGAAATGTTGTTATTGGGCTGTTATAGAGAGGTCTAATTGTAGTACTGATAAAGATAATGATATTCAATTTTAGGGAGATAAAATATGTAGTTCAATAACCATTTTTAAGAGATTGTTATTTTCCGTTGTTTGAAAGTTAAGACATTGTAGTTGACTTTTATGTCATGATAACTTTAAGGGGTTGTTTGGTAGGGTGCATAAGAATAATGCTGAATATGGTGTATTAGTAATTCTGGTATTAGTTATGCAGGCATTATGCTGATATATTTCTTATTCATTATTTGATTTGATGTATTAAAGCATTGCATAATTTCTAAAAGAATTGTTTGTTTACAAAAATACCCTCATAACCAGTCTATCACTTTATCTTTTTGAAAGAAACATATGTTGAGGAATGTTTTTATATGAAAAAGGTTTAAAAAAATTTATTTGATTTGTCTACCTATATTGTACTATATAACTAAATATTTATTTTTAAAAAAGGAAATATGCTAAGTATTTCTTAATCTACTAGGGATATAATTTAATTTCCCACTTTATTGGATTATTAGGCAAAGAAAGTTTGAATTAAAAAAATAAAAGGAAAATGAGTTGATTACAAGTGCATTACGATATTTAGTAGTAGAGTACAAATTTATAAATTTACAATGAATAAATTGGCGGAGTATAGATATAAATAGTGGGAGCAATTTCAGTATCAAACTTTACATCAAACTTGCATTATAATAGCATATTTTAATCAAGCATATATTTTGAAGGGCAAATTTGTCTTTTACTAAACTAATGCATGCATTTAAACCCATTGCATTATTAATACCATGGTTTCCTATGTATTAGTTATGCATAAGATAATACCAAATATAGTGTATAATTAATGCTTGCATAACTAATGCATAGGTTCAAATAGTGTACCAAACAAGGTATTATTAATACACAAAGCTAATGCATGCATTATTTTATCTAATGCATCCTACCAAATGACCCCTAGCACTTGCATTATTTGTACTTGTATTAGTGTGCTAGGTTTTTTAGTGTGCATTATTAGCGTGCTAGGTTTTTTGTTTTCTATGAGCTTCTCTCATCCCTTTCATTTTTGATTGAGCTTTTAATTTATTTTCTATATTTTTTTGTTATTATACTATTTTTACGCCACATGTCTCAGGGCCTACGTCTTGCCCGTACTAAATAAAACGCCCCGCCTCATGCTCCCACCTTTTAAAACACTAGTCGTGACATGAACCTTATTTCACTTTTCAATTTTGCTTTAGCTTAGTTTGTTCCTTTAGATCTGAAATTTCACATGGTGGAATAATCTTATGTAGTTTAGTCTCTTTTCAATTTTGCTTTTATGTACAGATATCTGGATCACTGAGTCTCAAATTTGTCCAATGGAGGAACTGAAAAGCCAAAATCTGGAACAGGCAAAGCGGATAAAGGATCTTCTGGAGTACCAACAGTTACAAATTAGAAAGATTAACGAGTATACAATATCCAATCTAGAAGAGATCGCTACAATTAAAGAGTATGAAGAACTCTTCGAGGAAGTAAGCACCTTAACCCCTTCTTCGATTAGACCATTCAACCTGTTAGAACCATTAAATGCAGACAATTCTAGTCAAACATGGCATTCCTAAAATGGTTCTGAGTTCTGACATGTCTGTAATTGGTGTAAGATTCCTTGCTTAATTTGCCATCTCGATAGATTTCAGAAAACTCATAATGCATAACTTCTTTGGTTAAAATTTATGAGAACACTAAAGCCAAAAAAAAAAAAAAAAGGCTGCTAGTATTGTAAATCCAATCCTTCTTCATTTGCTTTGGTAGTGCTTGGCATCACCCATTTAATTCCCAAAATGTTCTGAATTTTATATTCCAGCTATTGTCTTCCCAACATTGTGCTTCCTCACTTTAAAGTTCTTTGTTCTTGCAGCTTCTTGTAGACCAACCTAGAGAGGGGATAGCTTTAAAGCTTGTTGGTTATCTTCCAGAAGAGCCTTTTTTGTATTGTATTGAGCCCAAGGATGAGGCTAAAGAAATGCATGCTAAATTTCAGGAGTTGATATGTAGTTCCTGGCACCCTTTTAAAGTTTCTGACATTAATGGAGAACCGAAGCGAGTGTTTATTGATGACGATAAAGAACTGGGAAAGCTTAAAGCACTTGGTGACAAAGGGGATGCGGTTATTGAAGCGGTTAAAACTGTCAAGACAGAATTACAAGAGTACAATTCAAGTGGAGATTATGGAGTATTTAAGATCTGGAATTTCAAGGAAAAAAGACGAGCAACAGCAGAGGAGTGCTGCAAAGCTGTAACGAAAATGTTAAGGGTGCGTACTATTAAGTCGTCTAGGTATGACGAGAGGCTGATCTATCAAGTTATTCATGCTCACCTACAGCTCGACATCACCTCAGCGGATAAGATAGCACTTCTATTACTATCGGGGACACTAGGAGCACACAATGCAGACCTAGTTCGTCCCTTGTTTTGTGCTGTTGTCGAAGGAGCGGGCGACATGAAAGAAGCAGTATCAAAGCGTCTTCAATATTTCAAGTGTTTGTTACTAGATGACAAAGTATTTAGTAGTGCACTGCTTAAATTGATAGAAGAAACGTGGCTCCTGGGTGAGGTTGCAACAGGTCGTCAACTTTTTGGTGCACTATTTGAATTTACAAGTGAGGCAATGGTGAGCAATGACAGTATTGCGGACTGGTCTAATCAGATTGATGAGCCGAGGCTCGCAGAGCTGGTTGAAAAGTTCTTGAAGCTTATGAGCAAATATTGAAAATGTTGTATTCGCCTGATTTTGTAGATTGACACTTGAGGATTGGGAAAAGGATGTGGGGCTGCAGAAGATGAGATCTGAAGGTTGTAATAACTGGTTTGAGCTTCTTTTTTTCTTTTTCCTTTTTTTGGTTGATAAATATACTGTTCGGGCTAAAATACAGGCGGATGGGAAAAATTTTATCACCCCATATGAGAATGGTGAAGCACTAACCTTCTTTAAAACCTTCCTGCGGTACAGGCAATTAAAGTTCCTGATTGAAGAATAAAAATCAGGGTATGGACCTCGGCTGAATTGCTGTCTCCCTAAAGATGTATTTGGGATATATGCATCTCCACTTCTGGGTAGCCAAACAACTTACTAGTATACTTGTACAGAAGGATTCTTGATACAGTGATGATACTCGTACTGTCTTAATTGCTAAGCTTTCAATTTATTTTCAATATACATGTTACTTGCCTAACTGCTCCAGTTACAGCTGCTGATTAATTGATGAAAACCTATATGCTTTTGGAGATGGTCTCTGCACCTATAAGGTGTTATGTCGGTTTAACCTGGACATGTATGTGTCCCCTGCACAACTTCTCTCTGCCCTTTTGTGTCTGGCCCTCTGTCTTACAAGTCTAAGGTAAAGAATGGTGCTTGATTTAGACATTCTTTTACCTATATTTCTGTGCAACAGTCCATCCGTTGGGTAAGTTAGTTTTAGCAAAGGTATATTAAGAGCCCTTAATTTTGTGTTGGAGATGCTCAGCATTTAATCCTTCTTTAGCATCTTGTAGCCTGCATGTATGGCCTTTCCAAGTTAGCTTTTTCTTCTCTGTAATTTTCCAAGTCTACCAAAATCCAATTATTGGCTTTTTCTACGGATTGGATACATAACTTGTGAATGTATATAATGGTCATGACAGGTTCTTGGCAAATCGTATATAGGTTACATGGCCAGCTGACAAACTTCCCTTTTGATCCTTTTACATGAGCTACATCTACTACAATTTCTTCTTATATATATTGTACAGAAAAAAGACAAATGCTTTAGAATTTCCTGAGAAATATGGCTTCTAAAAGAAAAGGCATAAGCTTCGGAATAGAGCACCAATGACAGAGACTCTCTTCTATAGGAACTTATTGCCAGTATTGCACATAGCTTTCACCCAAAAATTTGCCCGGCATGTCCCCCAACGGAATTGGTCTAGCCAGAATGTCCTCGTTTTTAACTGGTCTTAGCAAAATATTCCCGTTTTTCACTTGAACACCATAGTTCTTCAATATTTAAAGTTTAAAATTCTTGTTTGGTGGTGGAAAATAGAAGGTTAATGATCCATTATTGTTAAAATCATTTGAATGTTGATAATTTATGCTTAAATTTTTAGTTTAAACATTGATTTAGTGATTTACTGTAAAACTCAAAACTCCATTGTTGGACCTTAGAAAGTGCTGAAGAAGACAAAGTGGGTCTTTTTGATTTGATTTGATGTTATTTGACTAAATTGGTGATTGGAGATTGTTTGTATTTGTATTTGGAAGCTTTGTTTCAAATTTGATATCATTTGGAGCCGATTTGGGTTGGTTTGATCGAAATTGAAGTTGCAAATCCGAAGAAAACTTTGTTGAAACAACATAGAAAAATTATGCCATTTGATAGACTTAAATGAACAAAATAGATAGATAGAGCAAATATAACATAAGCTCTACTAATACAATAGAAAAACCTTGACAAGCAATAATTGTTTGGGTTAATTCTTTTTTTAAATACCGTTTGCAGGGGAGATATTTAGGCCTCTTCATTTTGGAATTGGTTAGCATTGTTCTTGAAAATTATCCTCTGGACTTGGACCTTGCGCAAATCCCAAGTATATACTATAGCAAGAACTATAGTTTAGAGCATGATTAGCATTTGTAAGTATGGGAATACAACCAGGGTAGAAAAATAAAATGCTCTTAGTAAGAGTTGAATTAAGACCTCCGCTTACTAAGTGGACACTCTAACCAACTAAGCTACAAGAGCTTATTATTCTTTTATTTCAATTGAAAATAATTGATCTCTTGTTTAAGTATTACATGTGAATTTGCTATGAAATTCAAATATAGCTATAAACAATGGCGGAGCCACATTGAACCAAGGGGTGTCAAGCGGCACCTCTTCGCCGGAAAATTACACTATATTGCTAGATACATTTTTTTATTTTATATATATTTACTATACGTTGACTCCCCTTGATTTTTTGATATATCTAATTATTTATATTTTGACACCTTTTGATGAAAATTTTGGCTCCGCCACTGGCTATAAATGGTAATTTCTGAAAGTATAGCTACCAATCGTACATACAATATATATGTTTGTTGTGTCGTGTAATTTGCTCAAAACGTTGTAGAATATTCTTTCCTTTTTTTTCTGTCAAGAAAAGTTATATAATGTCAATACGCAAATGTTAAACTTAAACATGAGTTTTGCTTTGTTGGAAATAATTTTACGGTCAATCGGTAAGGTATATTTTTGTCAGGCTTTCTTCCCTCTTTTCACTTTTTTACTTTTCATGTGTTGGAAATTTGTAACTATTTTAAGGGAATAATCGTTGATGTTAGACTAATCGAATGCATTTTGGTTTCAGAACAAGTCAGGTCATATTCTCTGACTTAACTAGGTTAAAGTTATCAATCACTTAATCTTCATTTTCTTTGTAACTAAAGGTATCCCTATCAATTACTTACTTTCTCATTTTAATACATATCCATCTATATAAAATATGAGAAGTAAATCAATATAATTATGCCAAATGCCACAACAAAAATTCAACATGTGTCAAATTTTAGGACAAAATTAGTTAAGTTAGTTAATAATTAGTTNATATATATATATATATATATATATATAAATAACTTCAATGTAGAAATTATAAAATGAAAAGACCAATTAGTTTTTTGAGATGAGAAAGTTTTTGAGTAATAATTCATATGGTCATACTATATGGATAAGATCATGTAACAAAATCCAACAAGTGTCAAATTTAAGGACAAAATTAGTTAGGTTAGTTAATAATTAGTTACACTTTTTGAATTTAAATTAAAAATAATTAAATATTTATATTTTTTTAAGGAAACTACTATAAAAAATATAATTAAATAATTTCAATGTAGAGATATATAAAATTATAAGACTAATTTATTTTTTGAGATGAGAAAGCTTTTGAATAATAATTTGTACGGTCACACTATATGGATAGATCATGTAACTAAAAATATTATAATAGATAAAACTATTATACTCATTGTATTATATCAAACTGGTAATTTATTAAAAAGTTATATGTCAATTTAATAATATTAATTATTGGATATTACAATTTAATAAGCAAGGAAAAAAAAATAAGATATAAATTTATGAGAAAATATAAAAATATAACACTTATAATTAGAATTATGACGAGAAAAGTCGTACATATACACATAACGAAAATCATAATAAACAAATAGTCATAAAGGAAGAATACTATAAAAAAAAGATTTCAAGCGATAGCGTAAAAATATATATACTAATTAAATTTCATGTAGAAAATTTTAGTTAATTATTAGAACTCATAATTTCAAAATAAAAAATACAAAAATATAAAGAAACTATTAGGATATTATACATAATATAAGTATATTATATATAAAACCCAAATTAGTAATTATTAAAAATATTAGTAAGTTTTTTATAAGAATAATAAAAAGTTTATCTCCTTATACTTTTGATGAATTCAAAATTATAATTTAGTAAAAAAATATTATAATATTTAAATTTTCAGTAAAATGCAAAATGAGAAAACTAATCAAATATTACAGTAGAGAAAAATGTACAAAAAGAGGGGGATAAAGATAATTTTATGATATTTTTATTTTAAATTAATTAATAAATAAAATATAAATAAATAACACTCAAGAAAATTATTAATAAATTTAGACAATTGAAGAATTATGAACAGCATAACATAAATTTAAAACAAAAATCTAGAATAAGCAAAACATATACTTATGTTATATTAAAAGAGAAATAGTATCAAAATATTAAGCCAATACAAGTTAATAAAAAATCACATTAGTAAATGTATAGTAAGTACTTGCTAATTTAATAAAGAATAAATAATAAACAAATAATTTATTTGATTATTATATGATATGTATCCCTTGATTTTGTATAAATATTGTTATATTTATATACACTACATTAAATAACAAAGCAAATAATTAATATTTATTAAATAATAATTATATTAGAGTGCATTGCCCGGATTCTAACACTAGTTAACTCGAAAAGTAAATCCTACTTCAACCGTTATATTTTCTTATTTAGAAAACACTACTGTACTAGATTTTCGTATTTGCACTTAAAAGTGAACCCACTTTGAATTTGAAGTCAATGAAAATAACAGTTTGTAATTATAAGAATATTTACTCAAAACTTTTGTGTAGACTTTGGAACACTCATGTTGCTTGATGTGTTTTTTCTCCCTTACAGCTTGTTTGGATGGTTATTATGTATCGTTTCATAATGTATCGTATAATATTATATTGTATTGTACCATATCATTTTGATTTATACAATGTTTGGATAGATGTATTATTTGTCACCGTTTCATGATGTTATGCACTAACAATATAAAGAATAAACTTGCAATATTATAAAGAAAAAATAAGATACAAGGTAGAATTATTATATAAAAAGGTAGGGTAAGGATAATGATGGATATAAATTATTCATGTAATTTCATATGTAAAAAATAAGTTTTAAAAATAAAATATGAATAATGATATCCTATCCTCGCACATTTTCTAACAAATCTTGTAGGAAGAAGAAATTATGAAAAAGAAGAAAAGAGGCTAAAAGACAAGAGAATCTTCATATTCTCAAATGTGGAATATACATATGGGCTTATGGAAAGAGATAATTAGAGATGAAAAGGAGCATAGTTGCATATGTGGAATCTATATACGCAAGGTCACATTCGCATACATGCAACCTACATTTGCAAGTCTAACCCATGAAGTCAAGAATGAAAGCAAAAGAGTCATAGATGCATATTTAAAATCTATATACGCAAATGTCACATTTGCATACATGGAATCTACATTTGCAAGTCTAACTCATGAAGTCAAGAATGGAAACAAAAGGGTCATAGATGCATGTGTGGAATCTATATTTGCAAAGGTCACATTTGCATACATGGAACCTACATTTGCAAGATTAACTCATGAAGTCAAGAGTGAAGCATAAGTGCCATAGTTGCGTATATGAAATCTATGTACATAAAGGTCACTTTGCATACATGAAACATACATTTGCAAGACTAACTCATGAAGTCAAGAGTGAAGCACCAGTGTCATAGTTGCATATATGGAATCTACATACACAAAGGTCACTTTGCATACATGGATTTTACATTCGCAAAAGTGGAACATGACAAAAACTACTAATCTTTTCCTATAAATAGCAAGCTCTCTTTGTATAGATATCCAATCTTTGTAAGATAAGAACTAGTCTTAGTCTTCTTTCTTTGTAGTATAAGTATGTCCTTAGTCTTTTAAATATTTCTAATCTTCTAAATATCTTTTTTAGCTTTTCTTACTCCATAATGGAGTAATCTCTTTTCGTTGGGATAGTTGATAAAGTTTGATATATTTTATAATACTATCTCAGCTTTTATATATTTTTGGCTTGAAACTTTTTATTTACATTTCATATTGTGCTGAAATGATGGTTTTTAATTACTCTATTATCACGTCTATATATTTATCTCTAAATTATTCATATCTTAATTTTTAAATTTTCGCGGAGCAAAATTAATATATAATAGCTGATGAATGAAATAGTAGAGTGAAAGTAATTTTTCAGTAAACTATTATTTCAAATCAGTAATCTTGCTTGCCCCAGTTTTAATTCTCATGGAGAAATTGTTGTAGGCAAGGTTATTTATCCTTAGTAAAAATATTCTCACGAAATTTTTACTTTCTTTTAGCACAATTCAAGCAAGAAAAATATTTCGGTTTAAATGTCACTAATCTTAAGTTGATTAATTAACATAATTCTCATGGAGTGTTATTAATTGGTTATTTCTTAGTGAGCAAAATATAATTGTATTAGAAATAAGCGATTATTTTTTAAAGAAATAAATGTAGAAATTGAGATTTTATTATAGTAATATTATCAAGTGAATTCAATGATTCCCAACTCTTTATTTCATCAATTTGATTCTCTCAAATAATAGTTAAAATATTACAAGTTTATAGCATAGATTATCTAGTCTTTGTGGGACGATATCTTAAACTATACTAGAATTTGACAGAGTATGAGCAGAAAATTCCAATACACATTGGCCTCATCAGATAACATATATAGGATCTTAATAATAAGGGCAAGATGAGAGAAAAAAAATAAGGTAACGATACAACCACACCAAATTCGTCGTTCCATAAAGTGACACTTTTCGTTGTTACGTAACGATGAATTTAACGATACAATACAACAAAAGATAAGTAATAATCAAAATAAATATTGTATTTAAAGTAACAATACAATATAATACAACATGTAACAACCATCCAACAAGTTGTTAGAGATTTCAGTGTTGATTAGATTTACTTTGTTTCAATGACTGTTTTCTAATTCATGTCATTTCACTTATTTCTTGATCCAGATTTTAAAATGTGCATTTGTTTTCTGCTCTATGAGCTATTTACATTACCAACAAGGAAACAAATCAAACAAATTGGCCCAGGTCAGATTCTTTTGTCAAGTTCAGAAAAAGCAGGCTATATTTTTTGACTCATACATCGTGCTGATAACCTTTGAGTTTCTATCCTAAAATTTCCTGTCGGTGGTTCCTTCTTTCAGATGACTTCAATAGACAGAAGAATATCAGAAAGCAGACTTGCAGGTCGCATGGCTTTTTAGACCTGGTCATTTTGCTATGGTTGGATGGGTGCTCGTGCACCTGTAGGAAAATGTTCTATCTTTAAACAAGCTTTAATTTGAGAAGATTTGCCTTTCGTCGTCTCGATGCATAGGATGGTTTAGATGTTGTATTCTTTGTGAAAAAAAACATATTGACAAGAGCATTTATTTTTACACGAGTTGGAAAGGAATTTGAAATGGCAGTGTGGTTTAGCTGGGATATATAACCTGTAGTGCATTTGGCTTTCAAAGACAGTAAATTGCCTTTTTCAATTCATTTGTGTACTATGCTATATGAGCTATTTACATTACCAACAAGGAAACAAATCAAACAGATTGTTAGTAGCACAGGACGGGAACATTTTTAGATTTTTAAACTACTGAACTTTCTTTCTATCTTGCGTTGTCTGCCTTTGAAGTGAATGGCTCAATTCTTTCGGTGTGTGCCCCTGCAGTGATGGATTATATTGTTCCTTGAGTCTTGCATCAAATTTGGGATTTTTCTAATTCTGCCAAAGATCTTTGCTTAATATAATCCACGTGAGGTAACTGCCCGGAGTTTGAATTTCCTCCTATTATTTGAATGATAAGATACATGATTTACATGGGAAAGTCGGAATCTTTTCACAATGCATTATTGAAATTTTTGCATCTCTTGTTGTATTCTCTTGGCTAGATTTTACCGTTGGTGAATCTTTGAAAAGTTAAGTCACTTATTGTAAGGCCATATGAATTTTTATAATTAACTCGAATTAATTTTGAATTTAAGGATGTAATTTGATTAAACCCGAGCCACATATGATTACTTAATGGTACAAAGTTACTAAAATGCTCGAGGATAATTACTTTAACAAATAAATTGAGTATGGGCTCAATAGAAATTTAATAAGAAACGAAAAGGGAATGGAAATAATGAACTTTCGTTGACTAAACCATGTTATCAAGTACACTGGGAAAATATCATATTCATCCCTTTCCCTTTCAATTTACGTGAATCTATTTTTTTTTTAATCCGTGCCAAAAATAATGACCTATTTTCTTATTTAGAAACAATTAACCTTTATATAATGATTTATAGCCACACAAAATATATGTGTCTCATTCTACACTACAAATTCAAAAGTCTTCTATCTTTTTTAAATTTCGTGCCCAATCAAATGGGTTCACGTAAATTGAAATGGAGTGAGTACTACATTACAAAGAATGAAAGTTTGGAACTTTATGGAATAAGTGGATAATCATTTTCTCAATGATAAGTTGGTGGAACTTGTTGAAATTAGTAAATCAAAATATTACCCAATTAGATCTGACTATTTGGTTGGGAAAAGGAAAGTAAGCCAATGCATTAAATTAACATAGAATGAAAGGAACAGAAGAAACATACGAGTGATTGTCGCCTCCTTTAGTGCGTCGCATACACATGGCGTCCAAAAGATTTGAAGTCCAGCATTCTAGGCAGTGAAGTGCAGCTGAAGCGTGCTAGTTGGCTTCCAAAACTCGGAGCCTTTTAAAGACAATTACGGGAGGAATTTGATCTTTTATTTTTTAGGTAGGGATAAAACGGGTCAAAATGGGTTAAACTAATAGTTGGGTAATAATCCAACCCATCCCAAAAATTTCATGGGCTAAATAATGTGTCTAGCCCAACCCGCCCAAATTAACCCAAATTTATTTTTTTAATAATACCAAACTGCTCATTAGTAATAAAACATAAAAAACCTCAGGTGTTAGTAGGCTTGTATCATTTTGCCACTTTCCTTTACGTAATTTACTGAAGGAACTCTAAATATTTCCTTGTTTTTTTTCAAAGATTACTAAATATGAAATAAAATTAATACTTATATTAATATTTTAATTTAAAGCTAATATTTTTTTGATCTCCGATAGTTTATAAAAATCAAAAGTTTTACTTAAAATAATTAATATTAAATTTACAGTAACAATAAGCCACATTGTTGTAGATAAAATGATTTTGTCTTCTTGTTTATCTATGATGGAGTGGAAAGAAATTTTAACGAATTGTCAAAAAAACAATGATCAGAAAATGGTGAAAATCTTAATAAAGTACTACTTTCAGGAGATGGTCAAGAGTCTACAACCTACAAGAGGGAATGGAATTTAGAAACTGTAGGGGATATATGAAAAAGAGTTTACAATAACAACAAACAACAACAACAACAACAACCCAGTAAAATCTCACTAATGGGGTCTGGGGAGGGTAGTGTGTACGCAGACCTTACTCTTTTTTGCTTTGCATCTTTCTTCTGAATTTTATGGTGTTTCTATTTATCCTATGATTGTTGTTGTGATACTAATATTGTTTCCTGTAAAAAAGAATTTACAATGGGTCCACTAATAGTAGCCCAAACTGACCCATCAGCAAGCACGGGTTGAATTGGGCATAGCTCAGAGCGTGACCCATCAACAATTTATTACTTGCCCAACCCGTTATATTCTGGGTAGGTTGAGCGGGTTGAATATGTTTGGGCTCAAATTGACACACCTAATTTTTACATTTTAATGTACATATTCATCTATTAACATACAAAAAAATTATTTATGTATGGCAGGTAAACTTTTTCTGCAGTCAAAGAGCACAAATATTTCAAAATAAAATTTAGTGTAATATATTTTAGTTTTATTTTTAATTGATTTTTTAGCTAATATTCTTTTCAAACATATTATAGCATTTAAACAACCTCGTATGAATCTCATTATCCAAGACCTCTTGTGTCAAGATAAAGAAACTCATACTTGTCTTGTTATTTGTTAAATTCCTTTTCCCAAAGACATGAATGAATTCTGGATTGTTTAAAGCTCTAAACCTTTTTTTTTGTGGATTAAAGCTCTATAGTCCGTTTGGCCAAGCTTTTTTTTTTTGGGTCAAAAGTATTTTTGGCCAAAAATTGAGGTGTTTGGCCAAGATTTTAGAAGGATACTTTTGAGGAGAAACAAAAGCAGTTTTTTAGAAGCAGAAAAATGTAGCTTTTCTCCAAAAGCAATTTTTTGAGAATCACTTTTGAGAAAAGTACACTTAGAATCAGTTTTCAAAAGTTTGGCCAAACATTAATTACTGCTCAAAAGTATTTTTTAAATTAAGTAACCAAACACAAATCCATTATTACCGAAGGTAATTTTTTAAATAGCATTTCTAAAAATAAGCACATTTTATAAACTTGGTGAAACATTCGTTAGCATTATCTTCTTTTCATAATTTTTCCTCAAAGTTGTCTTATCATTTTAAATTGTATATTACAAGATTGAATCTCAACCATAGAAAACGTGGGTAAAAACATGGCAAGAATTAGCAATGCTATTGACGGACAGAATTTCACTGGAGGGGATCCTTTCCCTGTACATTCTGCAAAGAAAACCCTAGTTGTAACAAAAAAAAAAACAAAGAAGTCCTTAAAGGGAAGAGAGAGAGAGAGAGAGAGAGTAAGGGACGGCGACGTCGAAAGCAAATCGTATTCTGTTGAAATGGAGTTACCTGAAGCCGTTGTAATGGAGGTTCTGTTGCGGCTGCCATTGAAGTGTCTCTGCAGATGCAAGTGTGTCTCAAAGACCTGGTGCTCAATCATCTCTGAAATAAAAAAACTGCATTGCGTTCGCAACTTAGGCATCGTCATCTCCAATTTCGGTTGTTCAACTTCGAGCTCCTTCTTCCAATCGAGGATCGGTCTTAATATCCCTCCTCCTCATTTTATCAGGCAGCAGTTGGGTGGTGGTGAGTATGAATCTGCAGAAATTGGATTCACAGAAGTAATCAATGGCCTCTTTTGTTTCTACACTCCAGCCCCAGCTGGTGATCTTACTCTCTGCAATTACTACACTTTTGAAACAAGGAAGCTCCCGCTCCCAAAGTTTTACCGCTGGACACATAAAAGTCAATTCTATTTAGGATTTGATCCGTTGAGTGGCTCCTACAAGCTGCTTAGCCTTGGTTGCCTTCGCGATCATGATGTTGTTATTTACCGAGAGATTCTTACCCTAGGAGGAGTGAACGACGACGAGGACATCACTATCGGTTCTTGGATAAAGATGTGCCCTGTTGATTTTCTACCAGTGATAGATGTGTTGTTCACACCAAGTGTTTGCATTAACCAGTTTCTGTATTGGTTGGTTAAATCCAAGGACAATACCCGGAAAATACTGGCATTTAACCTTACAGTACATCATTTCTATGATATCTCCCTCCCTAAACATCTTACAGATTTATTGACAGCCAGGATAGTGAACTTCAGGGGAAGTTTGGCGGTGGGATGCCTGGGGAATGTCACGGCGGATGCAGTTACCCATTCAAGGAAGCTAAGGAAATTGAATCTCTGGGAATTGAATGGCTCGCGTTGCTGGCTCAAACATTCCATCACCTTACCTGGAGAAATGGTAAGGTGTAATAGAGAGAGCTGGTGCACTGTTGGTAACCTTCCAACAGGTGAGATATTGCTGGCTAATCCTAAAGCTAATGATTATGATGATTCTAATTTCACCCCTATTTATTCTTATGATTACTCCGCTAGAGAGTTTCAGAGGTTTGTGGTTGGCAAGTTTCCACCTTTTATGATTGCCGCTGGTGAAAAATCCTCTTTTCAGATATCTTGTGTCGAATTAGACAACAACAGTCATTCCCTTGAAGCTTTATTGCGCAAATGCCCAATATCTGCTCTCCTATATTTGGAGAAAATTAGGAGACAAAGAGAAACGTTTGCAGAATTAATTACTATAGAGGGGGTAACCATAAGAAAAAAATTGTTCGAAGAACATGAGTATGAAACCACAAGTGAGTCTATTTAGTAGGAGTAATATGTTTTAGTTATTTATGTCTATGCTTTATTTCTAGTGGATCGTATTTATTTTTCCATAAACAGAACTTATGCTATGTGTTTTTGGGAGTTGTTTGATCCGGATGAACGAATCATAGTTCGCCCTTACCAAGTTATCTATTCCTCAAAAAAGATTCATTTTGTGCATTTAGTTTTTGACATCAGTTGAGCCTGTATATTTATTTATTATATGTATTCCTTTGAAGCCTTTGTGAAGGAATCAGAGTTTAGTGCACATTTATTTATAAATTAACCAAGGTGGTCATGCTCACTTATCTAGACTTCTTCCATGTTCTGGGGATAAACTTCTAGTTCTTTATTTAAATTAATCAATGGCATGTGAATGATGGTGAAATGGTATGACCTGGAGCCATGATTGATGGCTGCCTTTGAAGTATCTTTACAGATTAATTCATCGAAATAAAGTATCTCTACAGATGCAGGTGTGTCTCAAAGACCTGGTGCTCAATCATCTCAGAAATCATAATCTGCATCACATTCGCAACTTAGGCATCGCCATCTCCAATTTCGGTTGTTCAATGTCAAACTGCTTGTTACAAGCAAGGCTCATCTCGGAAACAATAATATCCTTCCTTCTATCAAACAGTTTCATGGTGAATATGAATCTGCAGAAATTGGATTCAAAGAAGTTGTCAATGGCCTCCTTTGTTTCTATATCGAGCTCTTGACCTTACTCTCTGCAACTCCTGCACTTTTCAAACAATGACACTCCCACTCCCCCTCATTTCACTGCCATAATAATTATTACCTCAATTCTATTTCGGATTTGATCCTTTTGTTTTTTTGAGAACAACAGCAAAAAATCTAGTGGAGTCCATCTCTAAATCTTTCAATAGGAGAGCAATTCTCGGGATTACCCAGTCAAAACAATCTCTTCTAAATGAAATGGACTAAGAGTTACCACTCCAGCACTGAGAGACAAGATTATCAGCTGTATCAGTGAGGTTATAGAGATCATGTATTTAGTCATAAGTGGAGTATACCAACCCAAGCGTCCTGCCAGAAACGAGTTTCCATACCATTTCCAAGCTGGATCTTTGTATTAGCTTTAAAAGTGGACCAGGAGCAACTGATGTGTTTCCAGAGGATTACCTCATGAGAGGATAGGACAGGGCCTGTGTGCCAAGGGCCATATTTGCTAGAAATTACCCTTCTCCAAGAGCATCTTGTTTATTTTCCATATCTCCACAGCCACTTCAAAAGCAAACTATCATTGTGTGATTTAAAGTTCCTAATGCCGCGTACTATTCTCCAGCAAAACCTTGTCCCACTTCACCAAATGAAACGACCTCCTATCCTTGTTATCCTCCCATAAAAAGTCCCTTCTAATCCTGTCTAGTTTCTTTTTTACACTCATAGGCATCGGAAATAAAGACATAAGATAAGTGGGGAGAGAGTCAAGAACACTATTAATGAGAATAACCCCACCTCCCAATGAAAGATACTGACTTTTCTACATGGCTAATCTCATTTCGCACCTATCAATTTTTTGCCATATCTGTTCTGATTTGTATCTCGCACCTAAAGGCATACCCAGATAATCAGTAGGAAGCTCACCAATTTGACAAACCAAGACTTCTCCTAGCCTCTCGATATCCTGGACATCATTGATAGCATACATGGAGCTCTTTCCCAAATTTATCTTTAGACCCGAAACTGCTTCAAAAAGTACTAAGATAGCCCTCGGGTATCTTAATTGTGATTCTTCTGCACTACATAAAAGAGTATCATCTGCATAGAGAAGGTGAGAGACTTCTACTTCAATGTTCTCCAATGTACCTGGTCTGAAGCCTTTGATCCACTGTAGAGACATAGCTTTGCGTAGCATTGAGCTTAAACCCTCCATAGATAAATAAGAAAGGGATAATGGATCCTTTCAGTGGTTCCTACAAACTGCTCAGCCTTGGTTGCATCTTAGATCTAGTTATTATCCTAGATATTTTCACCCGTGGACGAGGAGCAGTAGACATGACTATTGGTTCTTGGATGAAGTTTTTTCGCATCTTCAAGGAGAAGTAGATGGGACCATTCCAGTAGGGACAGATGTGTTGTGCACGCAAAGTGTCTGCTTCTGCAGTGTTGTAAAAAGCGTGCGCTTCATCGCTTTAAGCTTGAACTGAGGCGAGGCAACCTCTGTTAGGCTTCAGAGATCTGAGGTGAGACAGCTTTAGTGAAGCACTCACTTCAGTTGGTGAAGCGAGAAGCAAGAAAGCAAGGAAGCTTTTTCTTTTTTAAAGAAAAAGGGCACATTTTGGAAGGAAAAAGGGAAGGATGAAAAAAGGTATTTATTTTGCCATGAATGAAACTTATGGCATGTGTTTTGGTGGTTGCTGGATCTGGATTGAAGAATCATTTTTCACCCTTTAGAAGATATGATTTCAGTTATCTATTCTTCAAGAATGGTTCTTTTGATGCATTTGGTTTTTCTACATCAGTTGAGCCTCTATGTGTTTACATTTATGTATATGCATGTCTTTGAAGCATTAGGGCTGGAATCAGAGTTTAGTGCACATTTACTGCCGTGCTCATTTATCCAGTTTTGCTGGTTTAATCTTTTTGGGGGAATTATGTTAGTTCTCTCTTTTTCTTAAGTAATGTGAAACATAAGTCGGAATGGTTCATTCATTACAGATGATGAATTAAGCATGTAACCAACCAAGTGTTCTTAAGCTTTGTTTGGTTATGGCATGTAGCATGAATATGGGATATTTATCATTAAGCTAGACTAAGCTGTACTAACTGTGCCTTCACAAGTTTGACTATTCTATTTTTTCCAGCCTTGGTACTTCTATAAGAAACTCAAGTTTATGGTTACCTCTGTTGTGCTCTTGCTCTAAATGTAATGAGAAGACAAAACTGCATTTGAAACAAAACGCTATTAGCTGTTGCAGGCTAAATTTTACCAGCTTTCAGGGCAGTGCCCTGAAGCTGTTCTCTATAACGTTCCTGAGCAGTGCCCTGAAGCTAAACCTCTGTAACATTCTGAATTCATGGTAAGATCATTTTTCAAATGCAACAACTACGTCAAATCAGAAGCTATTATCTTTGTACAAGATTGCTGTGCATTTTTTTTTACCGGTGGCCCCAAACCCATAAATAACCCTAGGAGAGTGACCAAAATAAAGTTCCAGGAAAAAAGGGCAAATGCCTTTCTGCAAATGCAGGTTGGCTACCAGGGAGTCGGGAACCAAAGAAAGGCATAATTAGACTCAAAGAACAAAACTACTGTGCAAAAATAAAAAAATAAAAAAATGCAAGTACCTATAGCGCATGGCTATAGACTAATGGACTACCTAACGATCGCTAGCCGAGTCCAAAGGCGTATAGCGCATGTTATAAACTCACTCCCCCTGTCCCCTCTCTCCTTCCTTGATACTACAACAACAACCCAGTATAATTTTACTAGTGGGATCTGGGGAGGGTAGTGTGTATGCAGACCTTACCCCTACCCTGGGATAGAGAGGCTGTTTCCAATAGACCCTCGGCATCCTTCCCTCCAAAAACTCTCCACCTTGCTCTTGGGGTGACTCGAACTCACAACCTCTTGGTTGGAAGTGGAGGGTGCTTACCATCAGAGCAACCCACTTTGTCAGATGGATTGTAGCTAATGGGGATTGAACCAATGACCTTATAAAGATTTTGAACCCCCTTGACCACTAAGCTATGCTTTTGGGTTGTCTTCCAGAAATGGTTCCCCCCTTCTTTTCTTTTAAAAAAAACTTCAACCATTAAAGCGAAACCCCAAGGTCCTACCACCTATTTTCAATCAGTTACCAATAAAACACAAGTTTTAAGGTATATTCTAGTCATAGAACTAGAATCTTGCTCAACTTTCGAGAAAAAGCGCCTTTAGTCCACATCGAAAAGGAGGAAAAACTTCAATTCTAGGTATTTTTCTAACTCCTTGATTTTACTACCTAGAGATTTTTATAGTAAATATTAATGATATCTATATGTTTAAATTTTCATTTTTTAAATTTCAATTCTGTTTTTGTTGTTATCTAATATTTAGTTTAGATTATTTAATTTAGCTTACGGTTTAATTCACAGTTTAATTATATGAATTAGTTATTAGTTTAGAATTCGCCATAGATTGTTAGTTTAGAATCTAATTTATTTTTGCCTCGGTATCGCGTAAATTTATATTTGTGATTAAATAGTCAGGTGAATTCGGTATTTCTTTAGGCTGAATTGTGGGGTTGTTTGGTGACTGTTAAAAACATGGGGTTGATGTAAATTTTTTTTTGGTGAAGGGGGAAATATTATTAATAATAGATAGATATTACATCAGAAATAGAGCTAGTGGCACTAATACTAGGATACTACAAACAGTGGTAGAAACATGTTACTATTGGTCCATCTTTGTCATCTTGGAGTCTTCAAGAAATAAAATTGGGCGCTAATGTTAACATATCTTGATGGTTAGGTAGTACATTCTTGATTCCTTTGTGAGCCAAAGGATGCGCCACTTTGTTGCTTTCGCAAAAGCTATGCCAGACTGCTGGATTTTTCATCTCTTCAATAAGTACCAGCAGCCAAAGATGAGATTTTTATAAGATGGATAATCATTTTCTAAAAGTTGTATGATTTCCGTGGAGTCTTGTCTCCATTTCCAGTGGAACTAGATTTCTTTCACAAGTTATTTTAGGTCCCGTCTGCAGAGCTAAAAGTTCCATGTAGGTGTAATTGAATCCAAAGGTTGATTTATTGAAACCAACTACACAATTGCCTTGGTTATCTCTTATTACTACTCTTATGCCACTTGGTGCTGCACTATTCTTGAATGCTCCATCTGTGTTAAGCTTAAAGTGAGTTGTTGCTGGGAAAAACCACTTGACATAAATGGAGTGTTGATGGACTGAGCTAGTAATTTGGCAATAAGTAATAAATTCTTGAGCACCCATCATATTTATCTGTGCATGAACTTGGTTAGTAAGATTATTAAAGATGTTGTGATTTGATTTAACCAATAATGCCAAAGGGCAATTGTGTCCAAGTTAGTAGGGGAATTTGAAATTGAATGTTAATGTTTTTGATGGTTAGAAGCCAGTGATCCTCAGAGAAGGAAATGTTGTGCATATCTATGCCTAAAGTATTCCAAATATTATAAGCAATGGGGTAACTAATAAAGTTGTGTTCGGTAGACTCATTGCCATATTGCAAACTGGGCAGACGGTATTATTAATAATCCCTAATATATGTAAATAGGCACGAGCGGGAATCAATCATAGAGACATTGCCATAGGAAGGATTTAATTGTTTAGAGTATGGGGATCCAAATCCATCGGAAAGTGTCCCTAATTTGTGTTTCTGGTTGGAGTAATTTGAACACCGATTTTGTTGTGATAATGCCATTTGTATTTAAGGACCAAACGGGGGTAGCTATAACGTAAGGAGTAGTGGGAATATGGATGGATACAATCTTATTTGTTTACCCGAAAAATAGATAGAGTTAAATTTGTACGTAGTTCTAAAGGTATGTGATATAATTTGACACAAATCGTAAGAATGAATACAAATATCGAGTGTTGACTGTAAAGAATGAAAAATAAGCAAAGTTGGAAAGAAGATGATTTATGGATTAGGCAGAATCAATTTACGAAGCCAAAAAAGGATAACTTTTCACTATAGGAATGTATGATATCGCAGTTACAATGTATGCTAAAACTTGATCCTTTACAGAAATAATAACCATCCCCTTTATAGTGGAGGAATCTTACTTTAGATATAATTAAAAATACATAGTGGGAGACCCATGATAAGTCAGCTTTTCCATAATTACTGCCATGATTCTCTCCTCTAGTGCGGTTGCAACGACTCTTCTCTATGAGCTCGATATCGACTCGAGCTTGATATCGACTCGAGCTCTCGATCTTGACTCGAGCTCGATTCTGACTCATATAAGTTCGGGGTCAGTGTTGGTCGGTCTCTGCCTCATAAGCTCGATAACTCCACTTCGCATCATAGTTCGATTTGGATTCGAGCTCGATAATGATAACGAGCTCGACATTGATCGGTCCCTAGGGTTCGAAGCTCGATGACCTAACTTTGGACCTCAACCTGATATTATGAAGACGCTCTTCGATCCAAAGCATTACTATTTCGACCAGTTCGTGCGAAAGACTAACCGGTTTTGACCGTATACAGATAGTCCCCTCGTTTCTCGGGAAGGATGTAGCGAGAAACGACATGATTTTTCAACAGTACGATTAGATATATACTGACGTTTGCATCAAGTCCGATCATGACGTGTGTGATAGCTGTCCCGTCGGTTCAGTTTATCGAGGTATTTAATGCATGTCAGACGATGGTCGGCCATTATCGAAATTGAACCGCCATTGCTCAACCTATAAATAACCCTCCTTTTCAATTTCAATCACTTTTACATCTCCAAACTCTAAATTTTCTAACTTCTTTCTCGCACCTTCTGAATTCATCTGTAAGTCTACAAAATTTTCCTTCTGCGTTTTCTACTGCAAAATCTTTCTTTAAAATACCATATCTTTGATATCTCCTTCTTCAAATCCAAAAATGGTGAAAACATAAAAAACCGTCCCCCAAAAAGAAAAAGCTTCTTCTTTCCAGTCTACCGCCGACAAAACACCGGTGGATCCATGGCTTGAGGAGTGCGTTCCCGTGGCGTGTGTTCTTACCTCCGATTTTAAGGTTGACAAAGGCTCGTCGGTTCCCGATCGATGTGAGCCAGTATCGAGGTATATGTGTTCGATAACCGAGGGGTATCTCGAACAGATAAGAAAAGATTATAACTGGGAGAACAAAGAAGTGGTAGTTCCCTCTCCCGAAGAGGATATTACTACTCACATGAAAGGGTTTTTAAGTGTGTACGCTTTCACGTTAGGCCCCCTCGACCCTGTTATCATTGATTTTTGCTGTAAATACCAAATAACCTTAGGTCAAATCCATCCTTTGTTTTGGCGGATCGTTATTCTGATCTGTTTCTTTGTGAACAAAATCGAGGGGATGTCTTTCACCCTCGACCACCTCATTAGATTGTACTGCCCCGC